GTAGTAGTTGAACTGGAGTGTCGAGACGTGTTGTGAAGTATAGAGCAATAGAGAAGTAGACAGAGAAGTGAAGTGTAAGTGTAGTGAAGTGAAGTGGAGTGCAGTGTATTCAAAAAGTGTATTTATTAGTTAAATATCTGAGCAGGACAGCCATAAAATTTAGAGTTAAAGCTGTTATTGTTATTATTGCCTTTATTTTTATCATATTATTATTATTATTATTATTATTGTCTTAAAATAATTTAAAGGACATGGTATTAATATTCCTAATTGTAAAATGTAAATTGTAGTGTTCTGCCACTAGGTTGTATAAACCTACATTTAGAAATAATTATAAATCTATCTTGAGTTCGGTTGTGGCTAGCTCTTGGTCAATGTGCTCGCTTTTCACTACGCAGCCCCGGGTTCGATTCCCGGTCGAGCAATTACTATAGTGTACTCGTGGGGATGTCTCCGTGCTAACCACACACACCCCCTTCACCCTTGGCCACGAGGTGGTAACGTCGCTGGTAGGCCCGAGCCCGTTCACGGGCTGTCGCGCTAAGTACATACATGAATGAATGAATGGGAAGAATGACTGGTTATGTATATAATGAAACTAGTATGAATGATGTGTGAATGTAGAAAAATAATAATAATAATAACAATTTACCAACAATACAAAATACAAATTACATAGAATATATAAAATAGACTTACAAAAGTGATTTTATTGTAAGTTAGTAATGCCAAAGTGCAATTAAGATAACTTTCTAGATTGTAAATTAGTTGTATGAAAAAGCCCCGCCGTAGCTGCTTAAGCCGCAAGGCAGCAGAATAATATAAAAACATTCATAGATAATAAATTCCCCTTCTCCACAGGGTTACTGTGTAGAGGAAAAAAAAAAAGAAAGTACATACATCTGGAGTTTGGGTTCGGGGCGAGAGTGTTTAGCAGAGGTGGTGTGACATCACTGGTTGGTCAAAACCCGCGCTCTCCCTCGCTTTCAGTGCAACTGACGACTGAGGCATGGTAGACTGTCGGTTTATGCGTTTGGATACAAAGTTTTGTCGAAATCTATCGATTTAATTAATAATAAGTGTATTTTAGAATAGGTTTCTCTCTACAAACATGCAGTAAGCGCGTGAAAATCTGTAAACAGTTAATATGTTGGCCTCAAACCGCACATGATCCAACCAAAATATAAATTACGCAGAACATTGGAAAGAGGGTGGCGGGCTACGCCGACGAATAGATATGCTCATGACTATGGTGAGCGAGCGACCGACCTAGGTGGCTAAGGGCATCAACCACTACAGGGCCTCTGTCACTTCAGTGCCTCTTGGTTCCGAGTTGTGTCACGACGAAGGCAGGATTTTCGACACTAGCTGTGCCCCTAGGTTGAATTCAACCTCTCTCTGGAGAATTCTAGAGGCCGGCTCCTCTTATCGGTGATTTTCTGCCGTTTTTTAAATCAACATCACAACATCGAATTCCAGAGCAGTATCCTAACAAACGAGCCAAGGACAGCGCGCGATCTTTCCTTCTTCATCCTTGTCCTATCCTCATCCCTTACTTACTCACTTATATTGCACTACACTATCACACTTGTCGGGAGACCAGTCGGGAGCCTAGAGCTTGTTCCGGATGGGGCAGTGCCCCGCTGGTAGGAGATACCTGGTTGTGGAAAATCCTCGCAAGCCGATGTTGGTCGGCGCTGGCTTGAAATCTTCCGTGTATCTGTTATCCGATTATTTTTTTATATTCCAGCTAGAGCCTAGCGAAAACTCCACACTTTGTTAATAATTATTTTAAAAATGAAAATTGCTTCTTAGTGGAACCCAAGATCAAACTGCAAATTCTTCAACCGTGCGGTTCGTATAGACTTGTACTATGCGAGTGTAAAAATTCTAATATTGGTAAGCGTTGAGATTTAATGTACAGAAAATCAAATGGCCTCTTTAATTTTGTCGTGAAAGATCATTTTGTACTTTTCCTCCAAAAACCTTTACACAGATGTCGTGTTTCTGCACTTTTGCGACCGCCCTTTTTATGGAGTGGAAGCGTCCAAAAGAACTAAATTTTCCAAATGTGATAGAACGTTCTGAATGGTCATAATTTGTAGAATACTACTTAAGAAACATAATTCAGGTCTCATGTCAATCATCATTTCTCCATCAGTTTTCTCCAGTAGCCACATTTTCCCAGAACTTACTTGTGACCACAAAACTTATGTTCCTTAGGGTCACAAAAACCTGGTTTTAGGGGCCTAAAAACCATTGTTCGCGAGCAATGTGTGATTACAATGTGAGCTGCGGTAATCTATTTTTTCTCGTAATCTGTAACCTTCAAGTTTTTTATTTAAAATTTGTTGGATGCAGAACTATATATTTTTTCCCTTCAGCAGTAGGACACCTTCAAGATTTTGGGTCCATTTCTTACAAATTGTCGAAAACCGTCATCAATCCTTAGCGTATTTCATATGTAGGGAGGATATACGAATTACTATGTATACTTGCCGGGATATTAATTTTGTTCGTGTTACAGGAGTGTATATTCTTTATGTTTAATCATTAGTAAGCTGCGGATTTAAAGGCACGAAGAACTAGAATAGGGAGGCAAAAGAGTCATTTAACAATGAAAAATAGGCATTTAAAATGTCAAATGGGCATTTAAAAAGTAAAATAGGCACTTATAAATAATGAAATTGGCATTTAGAAATATACTATAATTTTTCTTATCCGTTTTATGTACGTGTGTACCGGTAGAAAGTTTCTGAAGTAAACAATATAATTACCTACATAGAAAGTTTGCTTTCGCCACTGTTCTGACAAATCCTGGCAGAAATCCTTTCTATTAACATTGGACATTTCGGACAAAAAAAGGCAGATTTGAAATAGCTACCTTTTTTGCTTTTCGTTAAATGCAAGCTGATACTCTTAAACGCTGCATATTTATGCTAATGGTATTTTTCCTCACAATTAATTTAAACGTATTGTATGATTTGTTTTAATCGCCATGCGTACCGCAAATGTTGTAACCAGTGGTGTTACAACAACACACTCTTTCTCGCATTATATCTAAAACATATTTCGAAATTTGCATTTTTCAAAATTCAAAGAGTTCAACAAAAATGAAACTTGTACCATTCTTTTAAGCGTTCCTTGTCCTATCCGAGGGGGGAAAACGAAGGAAAAACTGTTGCGGTTTTTGAGATTTTTTTACAATTTACATTAAAAAATACATAACCTTTTTTAAATACCAGATTATTTAGAACATATTTCATTTACGATAAAAATCTCTGTATTCACTTTTGTACATTTTTTTGCCATGTTAACTTTTTGGAATTTTCGAAAGAATTCGCGAAAAGCGGGACCGGCACCAATTGTTTACCGTCCTTTCATACATACGAGGAACAAAATTTAACACAAATTTGATGCCGTTTTCGAGAAAAAAATTGTTTAAAACGTAAAAATAACTCTACTAACACCAGTGATTTTGCACATATTTCATAATATGAAATACCCGCACTGTGGTGGCAGTAAAACGAAACACAGATTTATCTATATTTGTTCAATTTCTCTGTACTCTGTAGGATAAAAATGAAAAACGTACAATATTTTAAATTTTTGGTTAATGATAATTGCATTTCGATCAATAAATACGGGAATAGACAACATTTTGGCTTTTAATTACAAAATAGACGTTTACAGGAACTATAAAATTCGAAAATAATACTTTTAAAGACTCAAAATAAATAAGTAACGAAAAATATTGTGTTTTCCATTGAAGGGAAAAAAATGGTAAATAGGCAGAAATCCGAAGTTTAGCAATTAGACTAAGAATACTAATTTGTTAATTGGTTTTATATCACTTTCTACTATGTTCCATGGGAATCAGTCAGCTGTTTTGACCAGTCAAACATGGGTAATTTTGATAGTCGTGAACGTGTGTAAAAAGCGAGAAAATCTGGATTTTCAACCAGTTTTTTTAATTTATTGCAATCCAAGTCTTAACTTTGTTATTGAGTTTCCGTTTCAACCCATTCGCCCTAAGTGACTGACATAGGTGATACACCTCTAGGGCGCGGCAGCCGGTCCAACGGTCGGGCGTCGACTTACTAGTTCTGCGTTTTTTTACTGTAGCTACGATACTTTCTTTTCATTCCGTGTATGACAGAGTAAACATTAATGTAAACAATGAAATAACATAAATCAGTCGGCTATTTGTAACCAAATCCTCACGCGTTGGACTACAATTCTAGTAAATGGTACTAAATGGTAACGAGTGTTTACATCGAAATTGGGAGGGAAAAAAACCCTGCGAGGAGAGGATCTACAAACTTCTTTTCCAGAAAAGGTAAGTCGCTCAACGTTAGCAATTTATGCGGAAAAGTTGAACTGTAACTTGATTCGGGTTGCTGTTGTGACTGTTGATAATATGATGTTAGGAAAGATGATGTACATATTGGTCAAAAGATGTTTGTTTTTCTTAAAAAAAAATACTGTTTTGCGATGTTAAGAAACAGTTGTTACAATTGACTCTGAAATGTCTGATATGTAACGTATCTTTTTGTGTTTGTCATTTAAGGGTCGGATTAATCCGACTTTTGCCAGCCAGCGGTGTTCCCAGGCGTGGACCCTGTTTTATTATTTAAATTTATTATCCACGCCGTCTGGGGGTAAGAGCGACTTGAGGCAAGCATGACGTATCTCCACCACCGTACTTTGCTAATTTGGCATGCCTGAGATTTCATTCGTCACGCAACTACAGAAACTGAAACCATTTGTATTAGAAAGCTACACCTTCATTTTTGGAATATTATACTAAAAAAATTTAATATAAAAGAGCAATGTACGATTTGTTGATTTCGTAGGATGACTAACGTCATATATTATCCAGACTGTGCCAGTAGAAACGAACGCTGCTGTATTATGGGTGATTGTATGGACTGCCTTATTCTGTCCAGTCCCAATGGGTCACTTCGGAAGATTATTACGTTTTTGCGTGCGTCGCAGGGACCTCCCATGGCGCGGCGCGGTCGAAACGTCGCCGGCCGCTTCTTGGAACACGCCTCGCCACTCGAGCTGCTCCCTCCGAACGGCGCCCCCAGAGCGCATGCGCGGCGCGGCTCGGCGCGGCCCGACTCGGCGCGGCGCAGCGCGGCGTGGCCACTGCAGTCAAATTCCCGCGAAACGCCGCCGCTTCCCGGAGGCTCGACCCGAACGCCGCCGAAGGCGGCCGAAGTCTCCCGAAGGCTCGTCGCGGCCCCCTGCAAACGCTGCGGCGGCGGCGACGCGCGCGCCGGCCGAACAGTTGGCCGCGAACCGCGCGACCGATAACTACAGGTGAGGGAGAGCAGTCGCGTCCGGTGTTTCGAGTCCGCGCGGTGCCATGCCGCGGCATTGTTGAAGACCGGGGACTGAGTGCGAGCGACAAGATGACGTCGCTTTTCGTGTTGGTGGTAGTGTTGGCGGCGGGCGTGGGGCCCGGTGCACTGGCAGGCGTGGACTACTGTGCCGTGCACACGTTCCGCAGCAATTCGTCGTGGTTGCAGTTCACGAAAGAGATGAGTTCGCGGGAGTACTACGTGACGGGCGCGTTCAAGAGCCTGCACTGCTGCGCCAAGGGGTACCGCAGCATCGAGTGGTGAGTGAAGCTCCGTGCGGTTCGCGGAACCCGCTGCGGGACGGCGCGGAGAGACGCGGCGCGGCGCGCTTCGCGGAAAGAAAACCTGTCCGACACAGATGAACCCGATCATCAGCGGCCTCGCTTTGCTGGACGCTGCCTGCCCGTCTGCCTGTCTGTCGTCTGCGCTGTCACGTTCTTTTGTTTGCCGCGCGTCCACGCAGATCTTGCTCGGTTACTGTCGCAGACGACGTGAGGCGACTTGCCTTTTGTCCGTTAGCTGCGATGACAGCAGCTGAATGTGTTTGATTCGGGGTCAAGTGCTGAGAAAATTTTACTTTCTCACTGAGAGGTGTTTCGGTTGTCCGTTGGAGATTGACAGTACGGTATAGATTTCAAGTAAATATGCCGCCAACCGAAACAAATTCAAAATCTTATTGGACAACTTGATAAATGTTTTGTCAATATTCCAAACTTAGGGTAGACATTTCACTTTTTTGAAGAGTAGATAACAAAGCAGTTCATCTTATCTGATTCGTGTTATGTGATAAGGACAGATTGTCTCTGAAGCTGTCCGTTGTTTGGAGATTAGCGATCTCATTTTCGTTTGAATGTGCTGTCGCTCAATTTGAATAAAAATAAAGTTAAAACGAATATAACAATGTGTTAAAAGTATTGACTGGCCTTATGATTGATATCTCAGAAATAACGGTTCTCCGAAGAGATATTGTATTGAAACGTAAAAGATCTTCATAATATATTCAATTTCACAATTTTACGGAAAGGAATGACAGCTTCGAGAAATGTTTGTTGGCATCACCTACCACTATTTAATTATAACATTGATTAGACGTGTGAGATAAAGATATTATGTTTTTGAAATCTGTTTTTATCCTGAAATATTCCCAATAAGAAGTAATGCTATATTAACTGAAATGTTTTGACAAACACATTTTATGACAAATTCCCCCCGAGTCTTTTTGCATTTACCCTGCCGAATATTAAATCCGAATGTGATCGTGATAATGCAATGAAAATATTAATCATGTTTTCGGTCCTCGGAAAAAACAAGGTACAATTCCATATTACAATCCATACAAAAATCATGAACAATTACTCCTATAGGTACAAGAGAAATTACTTACACTAAGAAAGGACCAGGTTGACAGGTCGGGAAACAAATGAACGCTGTGCAGGGCGTTGACATTGCAAACATATAGTGATAAAGCCCAGAAATGAGCTGTCAACGAACGCACTGACGAAATAAGTGCATGGACGTGTAACTTGTAGTTATATTGCCAGCAATGGCCAAGCAGTAGCTGCCAAAGCAGTCTCTTCTTGTAGTAATCTCTGTACCATATATTTCGATTTTTCTATAGTGGCCGAAGACAGCTCATTTTTACACTTCTTGCATAAAAATGAATATTTGTGACAGTGGGAAGCACAGTTCTGATGCCACGAGTCCCGTAGAGAAGGACGTTCGCGAATTCATTAAACAATATTTATTTTATAAGGCAGGTGTAACAACAACCTAATGCCATCAGCCACTATAGAGAATTCGAATTATTACTCAATTCACTCGACAAACATTCGGCTCGATCTCGAGGCGGAGGTGAACGACTGTGGGAGAATGTGTGAGGCGAGGTAGCAGGCGACGCGGGCGCCCCTGTCGGCGCTTGGAACGAGGCCAGCTCCCCGCGTGGGTGCGTGGGCGGAGTCGAGCGCGCGTCAGCTGAGTGTCAAAACCCCGCGGCCCCGCCCCCGCGCCGCCCTGCACTGCCCGCGGCGTAGTCCCACGGCCGTGCGGGAAGTGGGGCGGGAACTTGCGAGCGCCACGGTTGACTCTTGAGTGGTGCTGCGACGGATCCGAGAGGCGCGCCTTGAAACCCACAGAGAGAATTTTTTTTTAAACTTCACGAATATCGTCGACAAGAATCAATGAATTCAAATGATTCCTGGAAATTTTAGGAGACCGTGAGGAAGATAAAAATGTTTAAAATAACTTTATGGACCTGGAGTATTATGCTCCAATATCTTCTGAACAAAATTTGTCATTTAAAAATTCCGAACGCCCACTTTGAATGTTGCCGTTATGGGCAGTTTTAATGTGTGGAGCGTGATGAAGGAGCCAAACAACTTTGCAGAAAACAACGGTTTGTTTTTCACACAGTAAAACCCGATGCATTTGCAAATTATAATTGAATCAATGGTTTTGGAAAATGGCATCCATCAGGGCCTCGAGTGCTTCACGCCTTGTTTGAAACCATTGATTGAATTGGCTGAATTCACTGCAAGTTCGTAATTCTGGAGGGCGCAGGATTCTTATAACGTGTGTGTTAAATTGCAAAACGTCTGTCTTGCTTTAGCAAAATTGTCAGGTTTGGAGAAAACAACATAATTTTGTGGTCTCGTAGCCTGCAGCTTAACTCTTCAGTGAAAAAGACAAAATATTATTGCATGGAATCGCGACGAGATTTGCCCTTCCCCCGCCACCGAAATTCAATTCGAGTCTATTTGATCACGGGAGACCTTGCTATCGGCTACGTGTGCGATGCGGATCTCTCAGGCTTTGAGCTCGCCTCTGGCTGATATTTAAAATCGTGCACTTTTTTTTACGTAATTGAAATACACCTTTCAATGTGCTTAGCTGTCAAAACAACTCTGTGACGTATAGACATTATTTACTACCCTAGTAAATTGAACGCAATGACCGTGTCCAGTATAACCCAGTTGTAAACGAGCGACATTCATATTTATCTCTTAAATTTTTTCTTCAGCAAGGGAAAGGTAAAATTACGAGAACTGGAGTAAAAAATGTTACATTAAACAACTTCATTCATAATATTGCATCTTAGTGAATATATTTATTTTAATACCTAATGTTATTAAAAGCTATGCTAGAAAAATGAATATATATTTTTACATTTCTTTATTTCATATCACATCACATCCTTTGTATAATTCATTTATTAAATCATATGCAACTTATTATTTTTATTTTAGTTATAACGAAATATTTATGAATGCGTCCTGACTTACTTCCCCTGTAATTCGAGTGTGAATGGAGGCAAGGATGTAGGCAATTCAGAATACCTTACATGCTTTACAGTATCATTTTGGACAACAGGAGAACTTTTCCGAATCGATATATCAATCACAAAGTACGTTGAGATCATAATCATAATTTATCATTATTAAATTCATCATAAACCACCAATCCACCATCGACAAAGAAAGAATGCGATAACATTTTCAGTTTCTTATTAATCAAGATGACATCCTGAACTAACAGTCAGGAACATGATTTTGTCGGAACATTGTCGCTTAAAGCAGTTCTAAATCATAAAATTATGTTTTTTTTTGACTGAGAAATAAATCCTGTGGACGTTTTACACCTACTATATCTAGTCATTTGTATATCTTGTCTTACGTGCGTTTCGGAGATAATTTATGCAATTCAGTAAAGAAAAATATCTCCAACTAAAATGAAAATTGTAAGGAAACGTTTCTTAAATGTTTTCTGCAAACTCCAGTACCGAATTCTAATTACTGTTTCAAGTGTTGGTTCGCTACTGCTGCGTTGCCGTGTTCAGAACGGAATGTGGTTCGTCTCGCCAGAGATCCTTCTCCACACCCCTACGTCTCTTTTCCCACCATCGGAGCTTTAAGCGATTCCTTCTTTGTCCACCCACCATTTGCAATTCAAAAAGGCACGAACGCGATTCCCTTAATGTGGTGATGAAGGCGCAGAACAAACGTCATGTATCTAAATTGTGATCTCATTCTCTCGGCGTTTCAAGTTAGCTGCATTGCGCGGTGTATGAGTTTCTCAACAAAAGCTATTATTTCTGATGAGACTTTAGCTTGTAGAATCTAAAAATTACAGGCGTTAATTTCCTGAAGAATTTCATGTTTGCGAGATTTTGCGTCGTGAAATGAGAACATAGTAGTTTGAGTGTGCTTTGGAACTTGCTCAAACGAAGAATGGGAAGAATTTTATTACGAAAAAGCTTGAGCGACTTCTTAAGTTTGATTCCATTGAAAACTGACAAAGCCATACAATTTTCAAAGAAAGTAAATAGAGAATTTAATAATGGAACGAATTATCAAAACTCTCACAGTTCTTCATGAATCTTTGCAGTTGTTGCATTTTCTCTTGATAGAAAGTTAGCTGAGTCTTATTTGATGGCTTCCTTAATCTACACACGCATCGCCGAACACTCTTTGGATGTTCTGAGCGATTAGGTTGTGGAGAAAATTAAAACGGTTTGCCCACATCGGGCTAACGTGAGTATACTGCCGACTATGGGTATCCGAGAGCATTAATCCGGTCCCACCCCGGCCGACTTGCCAAGGTTGTTCGGCTTAATGTTGTTAGGTTAAGAAGCCTCTCTCTTTTGGAGATTGCGTGTTTGCATTGTGTCACTTCATTGACATGATTTTTCGTTTTTGCCACAAGTCAGCTTACAATTCTGCCCGTCTCAGGTAGTGAAATCGATTCAACTACGTAGCGTGTACAATTAATATCAATTTCGATTGAGAAAGGATGAATTAAAAATACTCCGGTTTAAAATATTTCGTATTGACATTTGTACATCCTAAATCTTAAATTTGCGTCCTTCAGAAAGATGCGAACTCAACTGATTGATGGATAAAGGTTGTTATTTTTTAAAATACCTTGTGTTTACCTACAAATACCTAGATAATATTGTGTTTTACTGAAGCTCTTTCAAATAATTCAGAGTTAAAAAGTTAATGCATTGCGTTTACGATGATAAGTTGTATAAAAAATCAAAACGGGAGTATCCCCGAGATCACCATCCATGAACCTACTGCGATTTTCGCAACAATACTTTATATTATGGTGACGTCACTATGGTGATGTTCATCTTTCCGATTGGATGAAACCGTCAAAATCTGATTCCTGCCAAGGGCAGAGTTGCATAAATCGCAGTATACTCAGTTCATCACAAATGTCATGTGATACTATCCGCGAAACGAGCATCTATCCCAAGGAAAGT